GGTTACTGTGAGCTGTGATGCCACTGCCCTCTACCCAGGGGGACAGCTTGAGGCTCTGTCTCAAAAAAAAAAAAATTTAGTACTTAACATGTATGTCATATCAATACTTGTGTATATGCAAATTAATAAGAATGAACCGTAGCATGGTAACTAATCATGTGAAAATGGTAGCAATATAATTCCATAAATTTAATCTATAATAAAATTGTAGAATATCTTCTGATATTGTATGCAATTGTTACAAAAGGATGATTTCTGTTTTGTTTGACAAGAAATGATATCCGGTATATGTTGTTTAACTAAAAAAAAAAGATTGCAGAATACTGTATTTTGTGTAGTAAAATAACCTTGCTATACAAAGAAAGCATCTCTTTGAAAGTGTAAATGTGAATATGTGAAAAAAATACCAGGTAGAGTACACTGTAAATGTTTAATATTGTTAAATTTTAAGATTTGAGGGGAAATGGAGATTTGTTGGAAACAAAGGGCCATTCCGTACGTCATTATATACTACTGTGACACTTGATTCTTATCACTTTGAGCATATGTTGATTTTTAAATTAAAAATGAAAACCTGAATTTTCAAATACTTTTCTTATTTTTGAAGATGTTAAAATACTTTCGTGCTGAGGGAGATGTATAAATAAATAAAATGATGATGGTACTACCCTCAAGGAAATGTCCACCTTGGAGTAATTCAGCCCTGAGCTTAACTAACCCCAAAGGAACTGAGAATGAATTATCTCCTGAGTCCAGACTGAGTGCCATGTGCATATTAAGAAAATTAAGTACAGGCAAAGGAAACCAGGTTGTATAAACTCATAGGTACACTTTTGCATTTATCTTGCTATATTGCTTGGCTTTTGAGAAAGGTATGTCATGACATCACTACATCTCTTGAATTTATTTCTCCTTGCATTCTTCCTTTCTTCACTTTAGTTTCTCAGGGATTTATATAGTAACAAGAGAAGGTAAAATTATAGTACTCAATCTTTCTCTTATCCAGAGAGCTTTGAATGGTTTTATATTCCAGTTTCTTAAATAGGTATTTTCTAGAAATTGTAGGATTATAATAGTAGCTTCTTGGAGTTCAAGACAGAGCAATGTTTATGTTTTTATGAAAAGATAAAAGAGGAATTGATTTTATCTAATAATAGAGGCTGTTAAAAATCTTATATGTAATTCAACCAGTATTTTCAATATGAGAGGCTTTCATGTTATAGACAGAGGCAAGAAGGAAGTAAATAATTAAAAATTCTCCTAAAGCCTATTATGAATGTGTTAAATTTTAAGCAAATTAATAATTAAATCTATGATTGTATTTCTGATTGGTATCATCAGACATATCAGACTGTATGTTCAATACTTATCAGTAAATTAACAAATTGACAGATTTTTATTTTTCTCCCAGCCAAAAGTTTATTTTATTGAAATGAATTGTAGGCTTACCTAAATTATTCCTTTAACATATAGTATTATTAATTTTACATTTCAATATGTTTCAACCATTGTAACAATCTCTGCCTTTTGTTCTGCCAGTTTTTGATATGCTAGTGACACAAAAAAAAAAGTGCATTATTCTTAAAGGAAGAGACTCTATAGTTGGAAAAGCAAAATAAAAGTAGGAAAAAATGTCCAAACACAGCTTTGATCCTTATCACATCCTGAGTGGCCAGTTCATACTATAGAAAGAAAATACTACAACAAATACTGAAAACTTCCTATCACAGGCAGAATGCTATCTCCTATGGGAAGGACAGAATAAGACAAAAGCCACACAGATTACATTTCAAAGCTTGCAGTTTCTGTAAAGTAAATCCTCAGAACAAATTCTTTATTCTAATTATTTACTCTTTAAGAAAAAAAGCAATGTGATGTTTTGGTATCAAAAACTCCCTACAAGTTCTTTTATGCCTTTCAGGTATTTTTAAGAGTAAAAAAGTTAATTGAATTTATTTTTAAAAAGTCAATTTTTAATTTAAATAACAAACAAAAATGATATAAATTGATTAGTATGTTGTAGAACTATAGTAGAACCTCTATAAGTTGACCACCCAAGAGACTGTAACAAAATGCTGTAACAAAATGGTCAATATATGGAGTTGGTCAATAAAAGGAACTAGGTCTGTTGTACCGATATGTACATGTGGTGCACGTCTGGTCTCTGAAAATTAGGTCAACTTAAAGAGGTGGTCAATGTAGGGAGGTGGTTAAATATGGAATTCTACTGTATGTATATTATCTACATATTATTAACTTATTTGGCCCCTTCTTCCTTTTTCATAAATTAAGAACTTTACTCTCATTTACAATCACAGCTACTCTACTACTATATTCTGTGATTTCAAACATGTTTATTTCTGTCAGGCATATATAAAAGAATATATATTAAGTGTAAAAATAATCATAGCTACTAGTAAACTCAGGAATTGTGATTAGGTCATTGATTTTCACCAGTGAAATTTGTAAGTTTGCAAATAACATCAGAATTCAAACTTAAAATTAGATATTTCAGTCCTGAAAGTACACAATCTTAGAAAGTGATAAACAGTCTCAATATCCAAACTACAGACATAATTAAAAAATATTGTAGAGATCTACAACTCATAGATATAAGGACATATCAAAATTTGATTATATGGAGAAGTGTTATGTAAAACCACTGATGAGGAAACTTTTAACATAGACCTATGAATAAACGTGTCCCTTTCAACAGACGATGTGTATGATTTCTATGAATGAATAGATGTTGCAGAAATTCTTACAAGGATAAAGATCCATGGCTTCTTTTCATTGGCGCTATTAATAGCAACATTTAAAATGTCAATTCCTTCACTGTTCACTTATTCTTTTTTGTTGTTATTTTTCACCAATAGATTTTGTTCAAAGAAAACCAATATTATGAGAAACCACACGATGATCACAGAATTTGTACTCTTGGGCATATCGAGCAGCCCAGAGATTCAGGTTATAATTTTTGTCTTTTTACTTATAACTTACATATTAAGTGTCACTGGAAACCTAACCATCATCATCCTTACCTTAATAGATTCTCATCTATGGACTCCCATGTATTACTTCCTCCGGAATTTCTCTTTCTTAGAAATTACATTCACCAGTGTTTCCATCCCCAGATTTTTGGGGGCAATCATTACTAAAGACAAGACCATTTCCTATAACAGCTGTTTAGCTCAATTGTTTTTCTTCATCTGCATGGGTGTGTCTGAATTTTTTCTTCTGACTGCCATGTCTTACGATCGATACGTTGCCATCTGCAAGCCTCTTCATTACACCACCATCATGAACAAGAAAATTTGTAACTTGCTTGTCTTTAGTTCATGGCTGGGAGGATTTATGACCATTTTTCCACCACTCATGCTTATCCTCAAGTTAGATTTTTGTGCTTCCAATGTCATCGATCACTTCTCTTGTGACTATTTCCCTATTTTACAACTCTCGTGCTCAGATACATGGCTTCTAGAGATGATTGGCTTTTACTTTGCTTTTGTCACGCTGCTGTTCACACTGGCATTAGTGATTCTGTCCTACATATGCATCGCTTGCACCATTGTGAGAATTCCATCTGCTAGTCAAAGGAAAAAGGCTTTCTCCACTTGCTCCTCTCACATGATTGTCATCTCCATCTCTTACGGAAGCTGCATATTCATGTATGTCAAGCCTTCAGCCAAAGAAAGAGCATCACTGACCAAAGGTGTAGCTATTCTCAACACTTCAATAGCCCCCATGTTGAACCCTTTTATTTACACTCTGAGAAACCAGCAAGTAAAAGAAGCTTTCAAAACCTTGGTTCATAAAGTAGTGTTTCATAGAAACAAATGAGAGTATACGTTTCTCTGATTGAATGCCACTGCGAAGTACTGAGCTCATTTGCTTCAGCTTTCTTTTTAACCTGAAAGTGACTAAGTATTGTCTTCCTTTTAATACGATTTGTAGGTTCAATGTAATCATTGGTTTGTAATTTTGAATAGAAAATCATTGACTCTAAAAATCACTTTTCTGGTTATCTAAATAAAAAGAATTTTTTACACTATAATTGTTTAAAAAAGTAAATCCTTTAAATATACTAAATCTTAAAATGTCTATTTTATGTTATAATATAGTAGTTTCTTTTTAAAAGTTCTACAAAATATGAAATAAATATCTATAACAAATATATTCTCAACCTATCTGTCCATATCTTCCCACTCAGCTAAGGAACTTGGGTATTTATTTTCCTTCTCACAAGTAATTTGAAATTCTTATGATTCTCCATTTCACAGTTATGCTGAAGGCATGTGCTATATCTAGTTTTGTGTCTTCTCCTATTCATCTATATTTGGTTTTGGAAATATATAAAGATATATAAAAATAAAGTGATCATTATTCATTTGTAACCTGAAAATGTGATAGGAATTTTCTAAGTACTAAGTCGTCTATAGATAGAACTTATTCTGTACCATACACAGGAATAGATTTGTCTGTTACTGTATCTGATGGCAATATAGACATGGTTATCTCTTTTGTATAAATGTCTAAATTGATGTATGGGAATATTTTCCTAAGATCATAAGGCTAGTAGTTAGTATGATAGCCTGATTTAAAAGAAACAAACAAACAAACTGTATAACACTGCTCTCTGCTCTATTTTTATGTATGAGGGAAACTCTGTAAAGACCTTCAAATCTTGCATAGCCTTTACTAAAGACCTGAACAATTTATAGGCTTTTTTCAGTGGCATTACCTTATTTGGCATGATAAGACTAGTATAGTCTAGTTGAGAAAGGGACTAACTCCTAAAATTATATTTGGCATGGAAATGGAACCTTAATCAATCAGAACAAGAAATCTCTAACTGTCATTCCTAGTAAGCAATAGAAAGAGTAGGGGGAAAAAATATATATAGTGTTGGCAGTATTGTGGGAGGAAAAGTTGTTATGAGGAGTCAGATTAAAAATAATAAATATAATAGATGTATTCAATACAATGTAGGACTAATATTTTAAAAATTATATTATTATTAGCATTTTGCTTTAGGAATTGAGATATCAGATTATTATTATCATTAACTGAAAAAATGATGGCAAGGGAAAAAAATGTTCAGACTTAGTTTTCTTGTTTGTTGTTATTTTCTTATCTGTCTCATTGGACACTGTCTCCCAAGCTTCCGTTTTCAATCTACCTACTAATGTGCATTACATTTTATATTCCTTAGTGTTTTGTGTTCATTCTTCCTTTGGCGAGTTTGATTTGCTGAATTAGTCCCCTTGAGCCAGAGGCAGAAAGAATAGATAAAGCATTAAGTAGCTTGTGCTACCTAAAATCTATGAAGAAACCACACCAGTCTTAAAATACCTTATGATACTTTTTTTCTATTTCATATTTTTGTTCCTTTCTCATTCTCTGGTCAGAGAAACATATAAACTCTGGAAGGAATGGAAAAATTAAGACAAAATCATTGACAATAGGAAACAAATTTGTTCAGTAGGAAACAGAAATGTTTTCAAAAATTCTGGTTTCCATGGATTACAACAATAACATTTGCTAAAATTTTTAAATCTCCAGTCATTCTTAGTGCTATTGAAACTATGTGATGTTGGAGGTAAGTTAGTCACATAGAAGGCAATGGAAATCTCTCAAATCTTAGCATTATTTCATTATATAATAGCTTAACTTTTAATTAAATTAAATAAGATATACTGGGGTTATAATTTGAAACTTAACATATTAAATTATATTAAAAATATTTATATTTTATTGTATTAGTTTATTTGTTCCTTAATTAAAATCAGGAAATTACTATCTCTGTGTCTGTTTTTAATTGAATATAGGATATGTAATACCATCTTTAAAAGAAGAGAATTTAATTTTAAGTAATCTGAGATTGTATTTGACATTTCCTAGCTGTATGGATTGAGCTGTATAATCTCGCTAGACCTCCGTTTTTATTTGAGAGTAAAGATAAAAGTTTCCTAAGTGTGTTGTAAGATCGAAATGAAATGAAATATGAAAATCCTTTGTCACTACAATAGATAGTGCCCTTAATCAATATCACCACTATTATGACTATCCTTCCCAGAGTTGGGAATTAATTTCAACTGAAAGAAAAAATAAATTAAATAATGTAGCTGTTAGAGACTACTAAATGCCACATGATTTATTGAAAACATATTTAAATTAAATCAATTAATTATCAAAAACACACTTGAAATTTAGACTCCATTTCCAACAAAGAACATTGAAGCATAAAGAAATTAAGTTACACATCCAAATTCATAAATATATTAATATACCTTTTGGATTTTTAATTCATGTCTTTCTAATGGCAAATTCTGTATACTTTTATGATATTTGATAATAAATTGGCCTTATATTGTCATGACCAAGAAATAGTGTTCTGACAGCATAATTTTATTATTAATTTCTTTTTTTCTCTTTCTTGCTTAAATTCTAACTGGATAGTTAGTAAACTGAAAGCATGAGGTTATAAGTGGATATTAGCCATGAATGTTACTATTTATGATATACTTATTAAGCGTGATTTGGTGATCTCTCTATTTCCTTAAATTGTTTCTATGCAAACTGGTAAGAATGCTGATAATTATACTGGCCATCATTATTGGATTAAAGAAACACTAATTATTCATATTTCTTCAGGGAACCAGTAACCAAAAATTATTATAAAAATAGTAGAAAATAATTTCAACAAAAAAATTCTGCCAGCCACTCAGTGTGTTCTCTTGAGGAGTCTTTGTTTTACTCAGGCTAGTAGAAGGTCTCAAAGGAATCCTGGTGTCATGGCCTACAGCCTACAATAATCAAACCATGGTAAAGGTGTATTGTAGTGTGATTAAGAAGCTAACATAACACTGAACTAAGCAATTTTCCCCTCTTATATAGTAACCTAAACTCTTGATAATTCTTTAAATTCATTTAAAAAAAACTGAGGGTGATGTGAAAAACAAAAGACAGTTTTTGGGAACATGATCCATAAAATTTTTCTAGTGTCTTCTAACAAAGTTTAACTGAAGAGGAGAGACTTGAGTAAACACAGAAAAGGTGAAAAAAAGTAATTGATGTAGTAAGGGAAGTTTCAAAACACTGAAACATAAAACATCCTTAAATACAAAGACACACACACACTCTACAAATAAAATGGAACTAGTGAAAGTCTCCTTATCTGTCTCTCAAAGCAATCTCCTAGATTTTCTATTCTAAACAAATCCCTTAATATGTCCCTTCCTCACCTAAGACATCAAAGAAGTTGCCAGTATTTCATGTAGTTTATTTACAAGTTTGTTGTTGACATATGTTTGATGATAGAGATTTGGGAAAGGCAGAATATGGGAATGTTTTGGGAATAAAATCCCTGAAGAGGCTTCATAACCATCTGAATTAAGAAATAAGAAATATCACTTTTAATTTTTATTTCTAATACTTCAAAAGATCTTCCCCACGAATACTTAGGAAGCCAGGAAAAAGTAAGTTGGAGGAAATAAGAGGAAGGAAATGAACAATTAATAACCTAAGAAATGTTTTTCCTATAGAAAATATAGATCTGTTTTCAAAAATAAAATAAAAACTGAGATGATGAGATCAATACTTAGAAATATTCTCCATTCCATATACCAATACATCCTTGGGATTATTATTATGATGATTTTTTTGAGATAGTATCTCACTATGTTACCCACAGTAGAGTGCAGTGCCAACACAGCTCACAGCAACCTCCGACTCCTGGGCTCAAGCGAGTCTCCTGCCTCAGCCTCCCAAGTAGCTGGGACTACAGGTGCCCACCGCAATGCCCAGCTATTTTTTGGTTGTAGTTATCATTGTTGTTTAGCTGGTCCAGGCTGAGCTCAAACCCACCAGCCTCAGTGTATGTGGCTGGCACCCTACTCATAGAGCTATGGGTGCTGAGCCACATCCTTGGGATGTTTTGAGGCTCCAGTAATCACATACAGCATGTTAAATATTGAAATATAATCTCCTCATAGGAGTATAAATTGTACTAACTTTATTTTACATTGATAGATGAATATAATACGGTGAATTCTCATTAGCATTTTCATATAAAAGCATGGAGTATCACCCCTGATTCTTGATATTGGGATCATCTACAGTTAAGCTTCTTGGCTTTTGTATAGTGGCTATAGAAGTGTCCATTTTGGAGATGTTCTCATGAAGCCTTTCAATACTCAGCTATAACCTTCCCTCACAGCTCTTTCCACATTTCCTCCACAGCTGTAATTAGCAGCAGAAAAGAATGAGTCATGGCATTATTATTTAGAAAAGTGTTAATGCTAACTGGAAATTTAAAAGGAAAACTGATAAGTAAAAAAGTTCAAAAAACATTAGCAATACTGTGCATTGATACATTATGGAACAGAAATAATATAATACATATTTTTAAAAACCTGAGTCTCCAATGTCAGTAAGTTATTACAGAAACTTATTCTTGAGATTGAAGCTAAATTTTATCTATCTAGTGGTAATGTGCTTTATGACTTCCAGAGGGGATGAAAAATTTGTGCTTTTAACAAAAAAAAAACTTTGATGAAATAACAGTCATGTTACTGGAGCAGGAATAAGATAAATTGAAAGAATCAACTGTAAAGAAATGTAAGAAAGGTAACACAGAAATAATATTTTATGAAGGTTTTTTAAACATTTATTTATAAATAAAATGTGGTGATGTGGTTTCCTTTACATATCCTTAGTTTTAAATTTACTTGATACACGGAATTTGGGCCAAGTGTATGAAAATATCTTGTGAAATATGGAATGTAGGAAAATATATCTTGTAAAATGAAGAGAAGAACTTAAATGAAACTTAGGCTAGA